ATAAGCAAATGATTATCAATTGAGACATCGATGGCCGACCTTTTCGTATGACTCGATCTGTTGTTCCAATTGAATGTATTCAGACTTAATTCGATTCAATTCGGACTCCATTTTGGTGTTGTGTTCCCGCAGTTCGTAGATCTGGTCCTCGATCACCTGCACATCATCTGTGGATCCGTTCAACAGCTTACCCGTGTCTGCACTCAAATACTTGGCACTCAATCGGCCGGTGAGGCCATTACAAGAGCCTATCTTAACGTTATTGTCTGAGTTATAGACATTGGTTTTGGAGGCTTCAAAGAGATCCAGATTAGCCGCAACGCGAGGACATCCAGAAAGACTTCGATGTGTTAGGAAACTACCGGTGATGTGACCGCTGCCATCACAGCCTATTATCACACAATAGACTCTACTTTACAAACAATTCAAAACTCAATTCAAAGGCAGACAAACCCGGTGTCGGACACGACTGGCCATCAGTTTTGGGCGTATGTCGACTCAACTCATTATCTTTGATCTCACTCTTTAGGATTTGGTTTAAAGTAATCAGTTTTGACTCATTCCTCTGGAACTCTCTGTTATCGGTAATGATTTCCACTTTCAATTTGTTGGCCAAAGAACTCATCGCCGGACTAATAATCAAATGAAGAGTGGAGTGAGAGGTGAGACCAGCGCTTACTTCTTGAAGACAATGTATTTTGTGGACAAACCTCGTAATGAATGGCTTCTTGTGTCTGAAGTCTCGAGCGCGCGGACAACCACTAAGACTCCGATGACTCGTGTAATTACCGGTTATATGTCCGGATCCGTCACATCCAGGCGTCGGACAAAACTTGATCTCTTGCTGAGCGACCAGAACCTGAGCCTTGTCTGCATTCGGACATCCGCTCAGACTATCACCCAATCGGACAAACCGTTAGACAATCACTTCAGAGCATCCATTGTCTTCATCAGTTCATACCTGCGATGGGTGGCATAATTGCCAGATATGTGTCCCATTCCCGTACAGCCCGGTGTCGGGCAGTGCAGCAACTCTTTGTTGTTCATCACTCAATCGGATCCCAATGACAATCAACTCTTTTGACCACTTTTTGGGTGATTTTTAAATTGAAATTAATTTGAACGCCAAATAAAAGTTTTGTCCAAAAAATGGCTGAAATTTCCATATTTCAGGGCCAGTCGTATACGACGTATAGTCATACCATTCATGCAATTAATTTATTGACGCAATAATTATTATAAACATTCACTATTACGAAATGACAATACAATATTGACCTAGTTTATATTCATCACATGTACAGGTACATCTGTAAAGTCAAAATTTATTTATATTCACAGCTGTTCTTAGACTATGAATATTAAAATAATACTGTATTTCCATTTCATATGGTATGTGACACTAGAGTATAAAGAAGTTT